TATCATAGGTCAAAGGGATTATGGACCGAGATCAGATGCTGGTAAGGAAACAAGCAGTGAGTGGGAGTGGACTGTAGCTCTTAGGTCACTGCTTTGAAAATGTTTGTCTAGAAATATGGATTGGCTGCAGTTCCCATGGCTCGAAACCTAGCTAAAGCATGCCTTCCTTGAAAGAAATAGATTTAATTAAAGTGCATGTGAATTTTTGGATGTTAATGCAGCAAGTAAGAATTTCCTGTTGAATTCTGAATGTGTTTGAGCCAAGCAGCTGCTTTCACTGCCATCACACTTCTGCTAAGCTTGTGTTATTTAAAACACACACTGCCCTGGTGGGTTGGGATGCCCAGCTGCATGAATGTTGGGTGTAAGTCAGGTCAGCTGTCCAGTGTACTCAGCTGATGGTGTTAACCTCAAAATTAAGCTCCCTGCTCCTCTTTTTATTTCACATAAAATGTCTCTGGGATTTAAGGGTCTGCTACTGGGGCAGCACAGAGGTGAGCTCAAAATATTGCTGCAGTTGCTCCTACAAAAATACTTGGTAAATGTAGCTTAATTTTCCACAGATTCAGAGTCTGACAACTCTGATAATAACACCATCTTTGTGCAAGGACTTGGAGAGGATGTTTCAACAGATCAAGTGGCAGACTATTTCAAACAGATTGGTATCATAAAGGTATGTGAAATGAGAAATCATGGGTCAGAAAGAAGGGAACTGATGAAGCTGGTGTACTGGAAATGTACTGGTATCATTCAAGGCAGAGTTCTCTCTGACTTCCCAGCAGTTGTAGATAATATTTTAACTGGGTTCCCAGCTGACAGCTCATTTGTAAGCTGGCAGCACTAGCACCTTTCTCCTAGTGACATTTAGATTGCTTTATGTCTCTTCTTTAGTCTTTATAGCCCTGACACTCTATCCATTGTGCCACCCTCGTACTGCAGCACGTGTGCCTCTGTTCCGTGGCTGCTGCTTCTGGTTCTGCAATTCTAAATTAGGATTTTGTGCACTTGACCTCATTTTTTTGTTAAAACTGGGCCCATCATTGCTTCATGCAGTCAAATCTCTCTGTTTCTGCAGGCCAGCTCCACGAGAATGTTCTCACTAAAGATACTTAGTGTTACAGTTTATGCTTTGAACTAATTTCACCACTGTTTCTGCTGTGCAAGTGTACAACCTTTCTTTTCAGACCAACAAAAAGACTGGGAAACCCATGATAAATCTGTACACAGACAAGGATACTGGCAAGCCAAAGGGAGAAGCCACAGTTTCTTTTGATGACCCTCCTTCTGCTAAAGCAGCAATCGACTGGTTTGATGGTGGGTGAGAGTTACCTGTTCCTGTGGCCATTTTTGAATCTAACAGACAGTGGAAGAAGCACATAATTACCTTTTTGGAGGCCCAGTGCTGCTATTTATGTAGCTTTTGTCTTGGGTCTTTTAGTTTTGTTTTTGGTTGGGGTTATAGTTGGTTTGGTTGTTTGTTTTTTTTTTTTCTTAAACAAAGACCTGTATTTCATGGTTTCTTGTGTGTATTGGATTTCTCTAATTTCATTAAACAGCAAATAGTGATTTAGACCAAAAATGTGCAGTAAAACTGAGGGTTTGCTGCTGTACCTCAGTCACCCATGCACAAGGTGTGAGAGGTGGTGTTTGTCACTACATGTTCAGACCAAGAGAGCTGTAATCTGTGTTAGCAGCTGGAGGGATTCCCTACAGTGTTGCATTGATATTTTTAGTGTTGTGGGAGCATTCTTAGAGTCTAGGAATGGTTCTGGCAATCTTGTTCTGAGTGCTCTGTATGTACACAGTGAAAAACAAGGTTTTAAAATTATAGATTTATCCCAGAAATATATTGATGTAAAACTCCTCAGACTGCAGGAAATACAGTGACACTCTTGTAGTAATAAACTCAAGGGGACAAGGGAAAAGTCCTCCTGTCCCCTTGTGTGTTCACAGAATTTTAGTGATACTGGGTATTAACAAAAGGTCATACTGTGCATCTTGTGGGAAACGATACTGCTTTAAAAAATTGGCATGGCATGCTTGTCTGATGTTTGTATTTGCTAATAAAATGCAAATTAACTTTTGTTTAAGAGGGTAAGGTAAATATGACTATATTAGGCACATGTGCAGTGCTGTTTGTGATAAACATTGGATCTATGAAGAATCCAGTCACTGAAAACCCTGAACTTTATTTAAATACACTTGGGAGTTAGGTTTTGGGCTGGCTATTGAGTGGAACAAAAGCCTTGTTGCCTTGGTGGAATTACAGACAGTTCAAACATCCAAACTACTTCCTCATGAACATGGCCAAAAATCTTTTGGACATTCTTATGTGTTTAAATTGCAACTTACAGATCTCATTTAAACTAAAATATCTGTGGGTTTATGAGAGTTTAGCAAGTAGATCAGTGTTTCCATCTCACCTTTGCACCAGTGCTTTCAAAACTAAGAGATTTACTGCACCTTCTCTGTGTCTCAAGAGTTTGATGTTCAGTCCAGGTGTGCAAATCACTTCTGCTCTGCTGGGCTTGCTGCTATGTTGTTGGGAGCTGTGTTGATCCTTTCTCTTCTCCCACAGGAAAAGAATTCAATGGCAATGTTATCAAAGTTTCTTTTGCAACCAGAAGACCTGAATTCATGAGAGGAGGTGGAGGTGGCGGGCGTCGAGGTGGGATTAAAGTCTCTAGAGTCCTTGTTTTTGCACAATTAAATACTTTTTCACTATGATTGATATATTAAAGAGAAGTTGACTTTGAAGCAGTGATCCATCAAATATATGAGCTTTTGGGATTCTGCCAGGAAAGGGAGTAATAAGGATTGAACCCAGTTAAGTAAACTGAAATCTGTAATCTCTTCTGCACAACACAGAATTTATGCTTTCCTTTAGAACTGGAAAGTCTCCAGATCTTGTCTCAGCGTTGCTTTTAAAGAGAAAGTGTAACAGGGATGTTGAGCTGTACCAGCCCCACATATATAGGGGAGAATTCCCAGTGAGTATTTGCTTCTTGAAGCAAAGCTTTGAGATACTCTGTTTCCAGCTGGGATTAAGCATATACATAATTCAGCTGCTGCTGATTTGGAGCAGCAGTTAGATTTCTGATTCCTTTAATCAAGGCCATATCAATCTCCCTCATTCTCTGCATGTACAGTTTGTCACTAATCCACTGGGTATTCATTACCATTTTCCAGTAATCATGCTTTGGGCAGTGACTGTCAACAAATTCTAGTTCTGAAACCAGGCAGTTCTGTAGGCTGATGGAAAAGAAATCTTCAACAACTTCAGTTGGCATAAAAGTTCTTAATTTTGTGATACAGAAAGCAAGAATGTTGTGCCTGTGTCAGAGGCATCCTGGGATTAATCCAGACATTTTTTATTGTTAAATTTTTGTTCTGTGGCTAAATCTGGCTATAAGTGACTGATCTTATACCTTGTTAAGTCTTTCTGCAATTTTATTAATGCATGTAGTGGGTTTTTATTTACCCAGTGGCAATTCAAGAAGATCAGGTTTCCCTTTACTGCTGGAAAAGAATTTATAATAAATATTGGGAATATATTTGCATTAAACACTCCTTCCACCTGAAAAGTCTGTCTGTCACTGGGGGTCTGAAGGCAGTGACAATCTTGGATACCTGTTTGTCATGTGCAGTTCACAGAACTTTATTCTGATTATAATTTTGTCTGCAGGTTCACGAGGTGGCTATGGAAGAGGTGGGGGCTTCCAGGGTAGAAGTGGGGAACCCAAAAATGGTGATTGGGTTTGTCCTAACCCGTAAGTGTCATTTTAATTGGGATGGGATATTTCACATGTGCTTCACCATCACAGCTCAGTCTGGGGAATCCTTGTGTGTTCCAGGTCCTGTGGCAACATGAACTTTGCTCGCAGGAATTCCTGCAACCAGTGTGGGGAGCCCAGACCAGAAGATTCGCGTCCATCAGGAGGTGTGCAAAACTAGCTACACCTCTTAAATGTTTCAAATGTTCCTTTCATCTGCATCTTTCTGAAAAAGCTGATGTATTTGCATGTTTTTCCCCAGATTTCCGTGGTAGAGGTGGCTACGGAGGAGAGCGGGGCTATCGAGGGCGCGGCGGCCGAGGCGGGGACCGGGGAGGTGGCTATGGGGGCAAAATGGGAGGAAGGTAAGAAGAGCCCTGCTCCTTGCTTGGTGGGATTGATAGGGGCTGTGGGAAAAGCATTGTTTTATGTGTAAGTACAACTGCCATGAAAATAGTGACTACAGACAGGAGCATCCAGAGAGAACCACTCAGTCTGAGTTTCCTGATTTCTGGATGAGGCTCTCTATAAACACAGAGCAGCACACGGACGTCACTGTAGAAATGTTTGACTGAAGGGACTGTTAGTTATTTCCTTCATTTATTACTTGCTTAGAACCTTTTCTCTCCCTTACAGAAATGATTTCAGAAATGATCAACGCAACAGACCATACTGAAGACCACTGTGAATGTTTTGTTTGTCTTCTCGATGCGTTTGATAGTGAAATTGCCTGCAGCTTCACCCATGGCCTCTTTCAATAGTGGAATTGAGTGAAACTAGATTTTTATTTTGGTGGGAGGGACTGGGGTGGTTTTGGAGGATTTTTTTTTAAGCAAGACATTGAAATTTAATCCAAATTTCCACATTCTCCTCTTTCCTTCCCCCCTTCCCATACCTTTTCAACGGGCCCTAAGAAGGAAAAGGATAAACTGTAAAATATTGCCAAAATATGAAGTGTTTTGTAATACAACAATAAATGCTGATTGTTTTATTTGTGAAATCCTACTGTTTCACAATTACTTGAGTTGCATGCATTTCCTTACATATTCCCAGTGTTCCTGTGGTATGGCTTAAGGAGTAAGTAGGCACTTCTTTGGAATGGCACTGCAGCTCTTCTGTGTGTTCACAGAATCTGCAGGCAGGTCAGTGATGAACCTCCTTGCTATACATGTCCTCTGTCCTGGATTTGCAGACTTGTCCCCTGCTCCTTTCCTTTTTCCCTCCTGTGGTGCCTGCAAACCTGCTTTGTTTGCTCTGCACTCTGAGGGGAGCAAGCAGAAGGAGTGTGTGTTCTGCTGCTGCCAGGAGGCAGAAAAGCTCAAAATCCAAGGTGGGACCCCTTAAAAAAAAAGTGATACTCTACATTGTGTTGTACTTGCTGCTTTTGTAATGTGGGTTATGAAAACAAGTGTTGTGTGCAGCTGCTTCATCCTGGAGGTCAGATGCAGGTGAGATTCAGTAGGTGCATTGTGAACTTTTGGGATTCAGCTCTGCAGCCAAGGGAGAGGAAAGAAGGGAGGTTAATTATCCCTCCTGCTCAGATAGGTCACTGCAGGGGCGAGCAGTCTGAGAAGGTGGCACAGCCCCAGTCAGGTCATGGCAGTGCTGCCTCTGCAGCAGAGGCCTTTGAGAGAGAACCTCTGGCTGTCCAATATTCCAGTGGGCAACACTGCAAATAACAAGTCTTGGGGTCTGTGGTTACAACTGGGCATAGAGCTGGGCCATATCTCACTGAGAAATGAACAGAAATGGCTTTTGTTAAGGTTTATGAGCCACCTCCCCAGCTTGGTGTGTATTGATGGTCATGGTAACAAAGGTCAAATCAGCATTACCCAGGGTTGTAAATGTGACTGCTGGGCCTTTTTCAGGTTTCTCCTGGAAAGCATCTGCTCTGTTAGAGAAAGCATTTGTCACAAATTATAGACAGCTTGTTCCTCTCAACAGTGGAATTTGAGGTGTATATGTACTAGTGACAATATAAAATCCAGTGTATGGCATATGAGGGTTCAGAAAGTTGATGAATTCAGAATCTGTTGTTTTGCTGGCCTAGAAGAGTTGGATGCTGATGGTTTTGAAGCTGGAGTTACTGTTTGGAGGGAAGAGGCTAGAGGGTGCTCTTGCCCACTGCTGTGCTGGCTGATGCAGGAATGGTGCCAGCTGGATGGGGTGGAAGGAAAGCAGGAATCAGCCACTGAGAACAGCCTCAGTATCCCTGCTGAGGTTTGTTCCCCAGCACAGCTGACACCTTGCAGTGCACAAACGGCTCCTGAGGGTGCAGCTGGAGCCTTCAGAGGTGAGCACAGAATTGGGAATGGCTGAACTCAGCTGAGCAAAACCCAGGGCTGATGCAGCATTGCCCCTCTGCTCCCTGCAGTTCCCTGGTGAGGCTCTGGCTTTTCCCCTCCTGGAGAAGAGCTTGGTGCTTCCAGTATTGGGAGCAACCGTTGTAGCTGCCTTTATTGCTAACTCAGCTTCCAACCCTGCTTTCTCCCCCAGGCTAAGAGCACTTTCCTATTCAGTCACTGCCCAGGATTCCCAAGTAGATGAGTCTTCAAGTGAGCCACAGAACTGGAGCTGTCACCACCTTCTCAGCTTTTCCAGCCTGGCAATTTTGCTGAGCACTTCTTGTTTATGTTCTGTTCTCTGTGGAAAAACCACCTGAGTTCTTGCATGGTTTTAAGACACCTTCAGCAGCCGCTTGATCTTTCAGAAAATCAGCAGGAGAGGGAAACTGTACTGGCTTGATGGGTTGTTTTACTTGCCTTTGGTGCAGTGAGAGTTAAATTAGCTCAGAGAGGCCGGGGAAGATGTTCTGTAAAAAAACAAACCTAGATGATGATTTAATGATGCCATTGCCTTCCAACTGCTTCTGCCAAGTCTTTTGGTACTGCAGGTTTTCTCCACAGCTGCCTAAAGTTTGCCAGGCCAAGTTTTAATTGAGGTTAAAGGAAAGTAAAAAACTTTAAAAATGTAGTGTATTAAGGATTGAATTAATTGTAGTTCTTCCCAGTGCTGTGTGAGGATTTGGTAGGACTTCCTGTAATAAAATTCCAGATTAAGGAGGGATAGGACAGTAGATCTGTCCTGTCAGGAGGTGGAAAACCAGGTGAATCTTTCTCAGCAGAAAGGGGCAGTTGGAGTTGTTCTCAGCATAGCTGAGAGTAGCTCTGCTCTGCTGCCTTAATCTCTATTTATGCTCCATCTTCCAATATACATTTTCTTAGTGGCGAGGGTTTGATTTTGGGAGTCAGTCCTGTGTGGAATGCTGGTGGTTTATTTATAAAAACAGGTCTAGCACTTGCCAAGCTCAACAAGGACTTGGTGGAGAAAAGAGGGATGCCAATGCAGGAGTGGCACGCAATCCTTACAGAGCTGAAACGCCACTCCTATATAAAATAACAGCTAAACATTTTCAGAGACAGACAAATAGTTTCCATGCTGGGCCTCTGCAGCCAAACCCACCTCACCCTGAGAAGAAATGCAACTTTAAGTTGCTCAAATACCACAGTCCTAAAGAGAGATATGGGGGCAGTGACTGAAGCCAATCTCTCATGTCTCCAGGGGTTTGAGGCCAGGATCCAGCCAGTGCTGCTTTGCCTAATCTAGAACTGATAATTCCCATTTCCAGGGTAACAGAGCCCGTGTGATGATGTCCCAGAAGATGATGTTGCTAATGCTGCTGTAGCAGTTGTTTGTAAAGCTGTTGTAATAAAATACAGCTGTCAGAATGCACTCAAAACTGCTTAAAACTCCCTTTTTCATACCAAGGTGATGATGTTTGCTGGAACTCAGGTGCCACCCTGATCCTAGAAAGAGATGCATGGGTTTGGCTGTTAGCTGAGCAAATAGCAGTGAGATTCAAACTTTTCAAACTGCTCCAGCAAATTGGTGTGTTTGTGGGAGGCCTCATCAGCTGCATGCAGCTTCTTGACCTCATCGACTTCCAGGAACTCCACACACAAAAGGTAAAGCCAAGGGAAGTCTGTGCAGACTTTGCATTTTGTCTTTAACATCCTTGTGGTAAATGTCTGTTCTTGGATCTGCTTGAGACAGGATACTGGGCAAAACAGACTTTCTAACACATTTTAAGGACACAGGAAAAGTCCTTTGACCTATAAGAACTTTATGTGCACAAATGAAGTACTCAGAAAACACTGAGCAGAAAAGGTTCACTCTTGTGACAGCCCAAGGAACGTTAAGCTGCTCATGCCTTGGTAAAGAATTTGACTCTTGCAGGCTGGGGTTGGGAGGGAAAGCTGTGACTATGCCCATCTGTCCTGAGCTGAAGTCCTGGCTCTGGCCACTTTCCAGCAGCAGGATGAGGATTTTGGACATTGCCTGGCACAGAACACACTGAGCCATCCTGCTCCTGTACAGCAGCAAACATCTGAAGAATGGCTGTTCATGGGAGGATGAAATGGAACAGCTTGAACCTGCTCTCAGTGCAGAGCTTTAATGTTTTTGATGGTAGGTTCCTGTGCCTCACACCCATCTTGGGTAGGAGCTGCCACAGAGGAGTAATGGGGTTGCTATTTGCTTATCAGTTATGATAAACACTCAGAGCTGCTCTGAGAAAGCTCACGTCACAAGAACTGTTTCATAATGTTGGTTTACGAGCTCTTGCATCTCCCTCTTGCAGGGATCCGCTGGTGCTTCAGCTCTTCTCTCTGCACTGCTCAGCTCTCTTGATGTGCCCCTGTGGACAAACCAGCCTCCCCCACTCCAGCTCCACGCCTGTAGTAATGGCATTTAGCTCTGTGATCTTTACAGGTCGATATGCAAATGGAATTAAATTAGGAATGATCTGGAGCTGGGACGTGTCTTTAGGGAAGGGTTTGGAAAGTGAGCTCAGTAAGTGCACTGAGATCTTTTGAGTTAAACTCAAGGGAGGAGGAATTGTCCCTAGAAACCCAAGAAATGAAGACTGATTAGGCAACCAGACCTTGTAGAGAGATCTGTTTATCATGCTCTTTGTGAATGTTTTACTAAAAGATTTTATTGGTTCTCTGCCATAGGCTTGACTTGTCAGGTTTCAGTTTTGGGGTAGAAGTTACAAAGATTGAAACTTTTTTTTTTTGCCCCATTTCTGATCTTCCACCGCAAAAGCCGGAAGTCTGTTCACCTTTCCATGAGATAGCATTTCTGTTCCTGATACCGCTCTGATTACAGCAGCTGCATAAACATCTTTATACTCCCAGCCAAAAGTCTGCAGAGAACTATGATCTGGCATCCCCCAAGGGTGGGCTGAGTTCTTCTCCATCTGAATGCCAAACCCCCGAGGACTAAGGCAGCAGCCCCGGGAAATGCCCGGTCGGAAAGCTGGCGGCTGCGGGGGCTGCAGGTGCCCTCCCAGACGCTTCCCCACATTACAATGAGCAGAGCAGGGAGTTTCCTGCTCCTGCTGGAGCCCAGCCAGTCACTTTCTCATCATCCATAGTCTTAAGTGGAAGAGCAGATGGATCAGTTGCTTCCTAGATACGACGCAAACACGGATGCATTTGCAGACAGAGCTGCTCTTGTTTTGAAAGGAAGCGAGAGGCTGACCTGTGTGAGGAGCGGCCGTCCCTTGGCTCTCCCTCCTGCCAGGGCCGAGAATTCCCCTCACACCATCCCTCAGGCTGTGCCAACTGCCCACTGTGCTCTCTAGCAGCTCCTCGGTCATTTCTTACTGGCCCAGCCACAAAACCATCATTTCTCCCATATTTTTTATCTTGTAGCTTAATGACTTCCCTATTTTTCTGTTATGTGGATCACTTTTTCCCTCCTTCAAACCCTACTTCCCTTCCCTGCATCCCTGTCCAGCTGTAAAGCAAAGTGTCACAGACTCTCTGCAACTCTTTTCCAGTTGCACTCAACAGATGCTTCTGTAACGTCAGGGTTTGGCATGATTAAAAAGTGGAGGAAGGAGCCTGGGATCTTTAAAATAGGTGTGGGGTTGAAGCTGGCATGAAAACAAAAGCAGATACAAGTCACATCCTATTTTTTTTTCCCCTTGAACCA